GTGAGCCAACACGCCTGGCCCCTTGGATTCCTTTTTATTTTGATAATCTAAATAAATCTAGTTTTACTTAGTCATAAAAAGAACTATTTTAAAAAATATTTTTAAGAATTGCTAATTTGTTTTACATAGCGTAACACAACAGCACCGCAACATCACTCAAACAGAAAAAGAGTGGGAGTGGCTTCTCAGCTCTCAAAAATGCCCCTGGTTTCCATTTAAATTGATTTCTAATTGTGCTAAGTAACAGAAGCAGCCTGGGGAATGCAGCCTGTGCCCCTTAATGCCTGTTTTTAATTCCAAAAGAAGAGTGTATGAAAACTGGAAAGTAAATTGTCAATGTCGTATTAGTGAGGTACAGATGATCTGAATCAAATATTTGACCTGGTACCAGTCAGAAATCTCAATCCAAACTATTGTTTTGTAATGCATTCTGTATAATCTGCATTTCCTTCAGTAAGTAAAGGCTATTCCTGTTTTTTTCTCCAAATCTCCACTTGGTAGAGTCCTTATTTGTGGTCTCTGCAATTAGAGAAGGATGGCTGCTGCTGTTTCTTTCTTCATCAAGAGAGTCTTTAGTGGCCCTTAGTTCCTTCTGCTGCTTCTCTATCTTCTGTTAGAAACCAGACTTGATTTTTTTGAACTTTGCTTATTTGATTGGCTTTGCCTCCATTCTTCCCACAAATGCTACCAATTTGAGTACTAAGTCTTCAGTTCAGCAGTCGGACTCCTGGGTAAGTTTCCCAGCTGCTGCAGATCAAAATGCATTTGCCAAATGCATCTATACAATCTATGAAACTTGTCACAACTCCTCACTAATGCTGCTGCTGAAAAGAAATGTTACTAGTAAGTTCTTGTTTTTACTACCTTATGAAAATAGTTGGTTGGGCAAAGGTATATTGCTGATTACTCCACTGATGCACTGCGCTCAATTGTTGATGCAAAACTTGAACACTGGCTATCATGGCGTCATTAGGATAGGGAACTTTTCTGAATAGTTTGACCTTTTTAAAAAAAAAATTACTTCTTGCACTGGCAACATAAGGAGATGCATTATCTTCGGTCTATTTGTTTCTAGTATAGTCTGCAACTGGGTTGCATACATTTTTTTTTTTCTTCCTGTTCTTCATGATGTTTTGCTTCCCACTCTCATTGTTTTTTTCTGCAAGGCCCCGCATTATGGTAAGTGTGTTATATTCCTGTTCAAAAAGATCCATTTTTTAATTGTGGTAAAATACACATAACATAAAATTTACTATCTTAACCATTTTTGTTTTGTTTTGTTTTTAGAGACAGGGTCTTATGCTGTCACCCAGGTTGGAATGCAGTGGTGCAATCATAGCTCGCTGCAGTCTCTAACTCTTGGATGCAATAGATCCTCCTGTATCCGTTTCCCAAGTAGCTGGGATTACAGGCATGTGCTACTGTGTCCAGCTAATTTTTAAAATTTTTTGTAGAGATGGAGTCTCACTGTGTTGCCCAGGCTGGTCTTGAACTTCTGGGCTCAAGCCATCCACCTGTCTCGGCCCCACAAAGTGCTGAGATTACAAGAATGAACCACCACATCCAGCCATAACCATTTTTAAGTGTACAGTCCCGTGGCACTAAATGAATTAACTCTGTTGTACAGCTATTACCACCATCCATCTTCAAAACTTTTTCATCTTGCAAAACTGAAACTCTATACCCGCTAAACAATAACTCCCCATATTCCCTCCTTCTAGTCCCTGCTAACTGCCATTCTACTTCCTGTCTCTATGAATTTGACAACTCTGGGTACTACTTCATATAAATGGAATCATAGAGTATTTGTCTTTTTGTGACTGGCTTATTTCACTTAGCATATTGTCTTCAAGGTTCATTCATGTTGCAGCATGCATCAGAATTTTCTTTTTTTT